ATTTGAGAGCAGCGAATTATCGATCGGACCAAAGACGCGTTAAACACGTAAGAACGGCCTAGAGTTCTGATTGGTCCTGCTTCCCTGTCCAGGTTAGCCAGTTAAGTCCAGAACGCAAGTCTCAGCCTCTAAGATATGAATCATTATATTTTAAGCATACTGAGTTTATATACCAATCAAACCAACCACAACGTACCAATAAAATAGAAAATAACATTTGTACAAGAATTAGCCAAATGTGGCTATGAATGAGGGAGATAGCGATTAACAGACAGGGAATAATTCATGAATGGTAAATCGTATAATAATAAATTATAAGTCAAAATAAAGCTCATAATAAGAGGGATATGAATATGAATAGTTTAGTTACATAACAATTATACAATAAAAATATACTCATAATATTAGTCCATAAATGGATCCCAAAAATTACCACTCATTATTCTTATCGGGATACAACATTCATCCTTTCTTGAATATATTCATATAGAATCAAAATATTCACCATGATTATTTAGTGGTTAATACATGTACCTATATTTTCCAATGTTCAATCGATCACTTAATAGAAAAAATTTAACTTTATTGATTTCATAAACACTACATAGTGACAATTTACATTACATTAAACAAAATAAAAACAATGAACTACACCCTAATAATTAACAATCTCTTACTCTGATGTATTCTATGGTGAAAGAAACAAAAAAAGGTTCAATAAAACATGTTCAATTAGATGGGTATGTTTTTTTTTTGTAGATTTTTCAAAGGAATTTACATTATCAACTAGCATCAATTGAATTACCATTGTAAGATCATGGTAAAAATTTCTAATTACACTTAGATACCAGAATACCAAAGTTCTTTTCTTTTGCTTTCAACCCAGGACACTCTAAAAGATTCATTGTTAAGTATATTTTTTGTTATATCCCAATGAGTAGAAAGATTGTATTCCCGAAGTTTCGTAACTTTATGTAAACCGCTTCTTCACAGTAACTTTCTAGCCAATACTTACTTTATTGGAATCTATCAAGTTCAACCATTGGCATTGAAAAGGACTTAAAAAAATTGTCATAATGAATAAACTGTCATATGAACCAATAAAAACCGACATTCTAATGAATGAATCAATACCAAAGTCAAAAATTACATTGAATCGATACATGATTTTAAATAATTTTTCCCTAATAAATCGTACTTTGGGGTTTAACATTCCCAATAGATTGAAAACCAGGTGGGACTTATCAACAGGGTTTAGCTACGGCATGACTTCAGGCGATCAATCAAACCTAGAAACTTTATATTTCTTAGTAAGACGATACCAGTAAGTCATTGAGTTGGAACTGTAAACTTTAAAAATACATGTGGATAACCCCAAATGCTTCCACATGAATTTTCAGGAATTCATGAGATGTGCTCTGTGGAGTCAAATAATTCAACAATAAGTCAAAAACTGACCAGAAATAATGTATAAGTACTCCGTTCCACTAAAAATCGATTTGAGAATGGTGATTACTGCAATACTGACTTAGTAAAGGTTCGATTACATACGAGACTGTAGCAAAGTCATAAAGATATTTGCAAAATTTCCTTGTATCCAACATGTAATAATTGACAATAGTAATTATTTTTTCCATAAACGAATCTTCACATGATACCAATAATGTGTACTATCAATCGATTTCGTTTTCGGTAACTAATGTTGAATGAATCCCACTAGTCAATTGGCTACCAAGATAAATGATACTACACATCCAATCCTGTTAGTCCAAATTACTGAATTGAAAATCCCTTCATTAGGATACATAAGGACTAGCTTACGAAAAATAATTGAATTCTTCGCAGGATAACATAATTTTCCATAGTATTTGATGAAATAAAAGTTTCTTCGAGTTGTTAAGTTATCCTACAACATCTAGTTATAATCTTTCTAGAGTTTAAATTAGTAACTATAATATCACCTAAAATCATATCCATACCATTTTGACATGTAGAAAGCAAACTATGTATAATTACCACGACCAAAAATTATTGTCACATTGGGAGCAATCCTAACTTTTGATCTGAAAACCCCAGTGACAAATGTAAGCTATTGTTATTGAGGTTGATTAATAGTTACATAGAACGACTATAAAAGTTGCATTTGGTTCGCTTTATTAACTTCATAGAGCGTAAAAACAAAGAATTGAAAAAAACATGAATTCACTCTATTTCGTCGTTTTCACAAGCTGCTTACAGCCTACAATACTTTAAAATCAAAATTATTGTAAACCACTCATACATAAAAAAGTAAAATTGAATATTTATCAACCTGATGGAGTAGTGAGATTGAAAACTATATTTGTGCCCTCAAAACGTTATAACAGTGGAAGTTATGACTTACTCTTTTGGTACCGAATACTGGAAATGACGACAATGTCAGTTTAAGAACAAACTGTAAGAACTGAATCTGTTACCCAGATGGAATCTTTAAGTTATTTATGACTCATTCCTAAAATAAAACAAATTACATCATACCCTTGTAACAATCAATTGAATTCATCACTCTACATCAACTTCATTGACTACGATAAGGCATTTGATAGCGTGGACAGAACAGCACTATGGAAGCTTCTTCGACACTATGGCGTGCCTCAGAAGATAGTCAATATCATACAGAATTCCTATGATAGATTAAACTGCAAAATTGCGCATGAAGGACAATTGATAGACACGTTCGAGGTAAAGACCGGTGTCAGACAAGGTTTCTTACTCTCATTCTACCTTTTTCTCCTGGTGATCAACTGGAACATGAAGACGTCAACATCTGAAGGGAAGCATGGGATACAGTGAACAGTTAGGATGCATTTGGACGATCTAGACTTCGCAGATGATCTGGATCTTCTATCACAAACCCAACAACAAATGCAGAAGACGACCAGTGTAGCAGCTACCTCAGCAGCAGTAGGTCTCAATATACACAAAGGGAAAAACAAGATTCTCCGATACAACACATCATGCACCAATCCAATCACAATTGACGGAGAAGATTCGGAAGATGTAAAGACCTTTACATATTTGGGCAGTATCGTTGATGAACATGATGGATCTGATGCACATGTGAAGGCACGGATCAGAAAAGCAAGGGCAGCATATCTACAACTGAGGAACATCTGGAACTAAAAACAACTGTCAACCACCACAAAGGTTCGGATTTTCAATACAAATGTCAAGACAGTTCTACTGTATGGGGCAGAAACCTGGAGAACTACGAAAGCCATCATCCAGAAGATACAAGTGTTTATTAACAGTTGTCTACGCAAAATACTTCGGATCCGTTGGCCGGACACTATTAGCAACAAACAACTGTGGGAAAGAACAAACCAAATCCCAGCGGAGGAAAAAATCACGAAGAAACGCTGGAAGTAGGTAGGACACACATTGAAGAAAGCACCGAACTGCGTCACAAGACAAGCCCTCGCATGAAATTCTGAAGGCCAAAGGAATAGAGGTAGACCAAAGAAGAATACATTATGCCGAGAAATGGAGGCAGCCGTGAGAAGAATGAACAAGAATTGGATAGAACTAGAAAGGAAGGCCCAGGACAGAGTGGGTTGAATAACTGTGGTCGGCAGCCTATGCTCCATTGGGAGTAACGCGCGTAAGTAAGTTAATAACATCATACTGTTTAATATGCTATCAGATACAAGCTTTGGAAAATTTCCGTTACAGAAACACTTCAAAATCCAACTCAACATACATTTTACTTGACCATATATTGTAATACTCGTCAGAAAAAGATCCCACTGACCACCAGTTATCTTTTTGATACTGTGGTGTATACTACTTCTATCGACAGACATAAGTAGTATACAACACCAATCACAAGTGATATGCCTGGCAGCACAATGTTTGGAAGATCATATTGAAGAGAACGGGAACAGAAAGTAGTTGTTATAGTTATGAAAAAAACGGTGAAATATGAGATAATTTATGGAGGATTTGTAAATGAAGCATTGAATATATGGTTTTTCTTATGTCCTTATGCTTATACGATTGTCAATTTAGATACATTGACTTGTACGATCCAACTAATGACGCATACATCAGTACGAACAGTCTAGAGTTCTCATTGGTTCCTTTTCAGTTTCGCGTTAAAGTTACACATTTTTATCCTTTCGATTTTATTTTTATTTACACTCCTTAAATTGATATAAAGGAGAACACTGAGCTAATTGAAGATCATGACATATTTGAATGTTAACGTCAAAATTACGAAACCAAATTTTCTATTGTAATATGATTAGTAAATAATAAACTTTAGATTAATTAGCAATAAAGTATCTATATAAAATCTTAATTAAACTCTTTCGCTAAAACAGATTTATTTAATTCTCATCCTAAGTCAAATAATAATCAACAAAGATTGATTGTAATAATAAGCATAATACGTTCTCTTAATTTGATTTTAGACCATATTTCATGGCTCTAAACTAAGATGAAGTGTAGTTTCTATTATTTATTTTTTTTGGAATTTCATTTTTAAAGAGAAACCATTTAAAATAGAATTCTCATCTTTGAATAGGTTGTTGAAAGTTTAGTCAACCATTGACTCCCCTTATCAAAATATAAATTCATTGGATATTTCGTTACCTTATCAAGCTATTATGATTCAAATATAACTACATAATATGGGATATAAGACTTCGACTAATATGAACACATAACTTGAATAATCCTCGACAAAATTTGGATCATCACTATGATAGCTCATGACCAAAAATTTTAACTATTGAAAAGAGAAAAGAATTTAGAATACGTTTGGCTATCTTTTAGAACCAATCATTTAAAGTGTGATTTCTATGAGCCTTGAATTTAATCATACCCTAATGAACTGAAAATAGAAACTAAGATAAAGATGATTAAAGTCCTATTATTGACTGATTATGATTAAATATTATAATTCCCAATACAGATTAATACAATTAATACAAAAATATTAACATTTTAAAAGGATATTAGTTAAAAATAGTATATTAATTGGAAGGCATTATAACATTATATATCACCATAATAACAACAATAATCTTATCAACTTAAAATATCTCAGAATATAAAAACAAACAAAAACAAAAGAAAAATGAAGAGAAAAAGATAAAAGAAAACGAAAAAACTTTTTTAATTTTTTTTTAAAAAAACAATGATCAAGGAATCAATGGTTGAAGAGAAATTTCTTGAACGATGTGAAAGAACAATCTTTAAGAAAAAAAGAAGGGGGGGTGTGTATTGTGATGAATGAACAGAGGTCAATTGATCCCCGCTCGCCGCCAAAAAAAAAGAAAAGGAAATTGTATAATTCTCTTTTTTTTTAAAGAAGATACTAACATTTAAAATCAACTAAACAGTAGATTGATCACCTACCTATAGTTGAACGTATATATGCTGATGAAATGTAGAAATGATTTATATAAACATGAAAATCAATAATTTATCACAGACATAATGATTAGTATGTTGAGAATACCATACACCCCCAAAGATCTTTATGTGTAAAAGTAAAAGATAACTGTAAACAATAAAGAAAAAAGAAACAACAGCATAATAAACACTATTAGATTCATTGATAATGATCAAAAAGTTAATAATTTCCATAACTCTATAGTGATAATTACTATGTAATCACTAATGATTAGTTTCGTGAGGGAATTCTAGGAGTACTAGTGAGGAGTCATGACCAGTGGAACTAATCCGTGTCAAGTAGAGACAGGTATCTACCTCAATACAATGGAAGATGGCCGCGAAATTTCGTAGATTGGTTGACGTTAGACATGAACACCGTTCGATGCCGACCAGGTCAGTGATCTAGAGGTTAAGCGTTCGCGCGCGAGATTGAAGGCTCTGGGCTCGAATCCCTTTGGCGCGAGATCGTCGATGTGCATTGCTGAGTAGTCCCATAACAGGACTAAACGGCCGTCCAGTGCTTCCAGGTGTTTAGTGGTAGTCTAACATTAATTGGTTCATGATCTCAATCAAAAACAGAGAACCCTATTAAAACGATGAGATTTACTTACGGACAACCTTTCAGCGACACCTTAACCTTGAGAGTGTCTACTTAATAACTAGGACCAAATGAAGGTTATAAACCTGTGTGATGAACTAAAGTTGTGATTTACGGTTGATGATGAAAGTTTTCATCACGAACTGACACTAGCTATAATGCCAAAACTTTATTTAGCCAAATGGATGAGTGAATTTCTCGCCAAAATCCGAAACCTGTTATCTTATACCTGATTGGTTCGTCCATAAAACTCCATTAAAACTATTTATTCTTAAAATTTTAATTATTGCTACCATACTACCTACATTTCTTCCGAAAAGTTACACTTTTCTATGCAAACAGAATATTGATTAAAAAAAACAGTTCTTAGCATTGAGTTCTTTGAGTTAGATAGTTGGTAATTGTGAATTATTCACTGTCATTCAGAAGAATACCATCAGAGTCTAACTTTATATAAGAGTAGAATGTTGATTAACAACAAGATACGATTATTACTGTTATTGAATGTTGTAGCACGACGATAATTACAGTTCAGAATAATGATTTATAATGATAAAATGATACATTTAATGGATACAATTCCATGTATTTGAATTTGAGTTAAACGATATCCAAGAGATAGTGATACGTAACCGGAATCAAATAATGAAACAAACCTATTTGAAGGCTTTATTTTTTAAACTACTATACTTTATGCAAATTAGATTGATTAATGATTATTTTGAAGTGAAAATAGAACAATAAAACCACTACTTTTATATGTGTATTCTGTTCTATACACAAACTGAATACTCACAAAATTATGCAATACAATATTTTATTATTTATTTTGACACCAAATACATATGCGCCACACAGATCACATTTGATATGTGTGAGGGCTGTGATACTGCTCGAGTGCCCAAACCGAAGCAAGTGGTTTTCTTAGAAGGCCACACCCGTAGCCTTCGACCTGAAGGTTTACTCGACAAGGCAGTGGAGCATCGTAAGGAGATGCAGTCTCATGGAAGCCAGTGACCAACGATTGGTTCATACGCCATTTGTTCCCTCAGGATACGGGAGCCCATGTGTACCATTGGTTTGAAATTAGGGTTTTCCAACTCCCCTAGGTGAACTCTCAGTGTCCACCGACCCGGTTAAAGCGCCGGATATTCGCTTCTCGTCCTCTCAATTTCGTTGGCAATCAGTGTCCGTAGGTTTGGTACGTGCTTAGCACCTTCGAAGTGTAAAGTACTTCTACAAGACTGGCAGGATCCTTGTAAAATGCGATCGATAGACGAACCCACCAATAATAAGGCAAACGCCCACCACCACATTAACGCTTTTTGACCTTGTACGACTGTATCTCTTTATTAACCAATCACAGTTTGATGTTCATTGTAAAACAATATTTGCTTGTTGACTCATTTTTCCTATTCTCTGGCTACTGTTCGGTATGTTATTTGTCTCTGTTTGTCCCTGTATTAATAGACCGTACTGTTTGTTTGTACACTAACGATGTTAATTTATGTTTTAGAAACAGATAAAGTTTATCTAGCCAAATAGCTTGCTTGTTCTGACTTTGGCTAAACCAAGACTCTGTATTCGACAGTCTAGAGATTAGCTCAGAGTTGAGTCTGTAGGAAATTGCTTCCTACAATCCTAATCCTGTACTCACCCTGGATGGTGAGCAGATAGAAGTAGTCGAGAAGTTCGTGTATCTAGGTAGCTGCATAAGTGCTGGGAGGGTGTGAGTGATGAGATCAATGCACGTATCGTGAAAGCCAGAGTGGCTTATGCCAATCTGGGCCATCTTTGGCGCCTTCATGATGTTAGTCTGGCTGTAAAAGGTCGGATCTACAACGCGTCGGTGAGAGCAGTTTTGCTCTATGCTTGTGAAACCTGGCCTCTCTGAGTTGAGGACGTTAAAAGACCCTCTGTGTTTGATCATCGTTGTCTCCGAAGGATTGCTGACATTCAGTGGCAACACCATGTTAGTAATGCAGAGGTTCAACATCCTGTGTTCAAGCACAGAGACGATAATTCAGTTGATATCACTATCTTGAAACATCGACTTCGGTGGCTTGGACATGTTCTACGAATGTCGTCCCAGAGAATTCCACGTCGTGGCATTATTCGCCGATGCTGGGACTGGTTAGAAAAAGCGGAGAGGTGGTCAGTGTATAATATGATGTTGTGGTATGAAAGAAATCTGCGAAGGGCTAGCCTCTGTTGGTCCTTCACGACTACCTGGCCGGGGTCCGAGAGGTGGTGCAACGCAATGGCTAGAGACGTTATCAGATATGGCTCAGAATAAAAGCCAGTGGCGATCCTGCTGTAGCCTTCTTTTACTTTCTTCATAAAACAAAATAGTTGTTTCTTCCTTAACTGAAAGATTTTTTCTGATTGTACCTTTCCGTTTCCCCTATTGTTATTATTATTACACTACCTTACACTAATCGGTTCGTTATTGTTCTTTTTTTACGCTCCTTACCTTCTTTTTTCCTTCGAATTCTCATTGTTTTGTGTGGCGCATATATATTTGGTGCCCTCTTGTACCAATATTTATGTGTTCAAATAAAATAAGTAAATAATAAGCTGATACATTAGGTTAAATTTCAGAATCCAATTGGAAAAACGTAGGTTTTCACTTTTATCATTCTATGCTACTAATCAGTTAAGACGTATTTAGTACACCTAAGTAAACACAAACATGTTAAATTCAATTTATAAATTTTATGGACTTACCTGTGATGCAAAAATGAGCAAACACTAAGAACGACAACATAGCTTGGATGACTTTGTACTGTTAACAGATTCGTTTGATCCGGGAAAAGTTAAGTGAGCAGGACCAATTCCAACTGGATAGGACATTTGGTTTGGGTTAGAACCATTTTGAATTTGTTCTAGAACACTTCGAACAGCAGCGGTAAATGCATCCAAAACATTCGAACCATTTTTAGCTGATGTTTCCAAAAATGTATAAGCTCCATTATCAATGGCACACTGTTTCCCTTCTAATTCAGTGACCTAAGTGATGTAATGAACCGCACATACGTTGTGAATTAGTGAAAAGATAATTTAATTTTAAAATTGCAATATATAGGTACTATAGGGCTTTATAATACATTTGTACGCGCAAGACCCGTAATGATACAATGTCTAAAAGTCAAGTTTATTAATTGGGAAGTGAGTGAATTACGAACTAGTGTCATTCAGTCGTTCATAAAATTTATCCATCTTATTTCGTGTTTAACTTCTATGCATAAACATATATATATAGAGAGAGGATGTCTGATCATCTAACCAGCAGTGTCGTCCTTGATTTCTAATCATCCGGAGGATTACGTTGACCCGCAAGGTTTCGCGAGCAGCCTTTGCTCAGCCACATCACATCACTGCGTTTATGTATCGAAATTTATTTATCTATCTACTTAAACGCATAAACATTAGCACAAGACGAGCACAAAATACATAGTCGAGTTATGTAGTTGTCACCAAATAAGTGTCCAGAGTGATAGTGACCTGACCTTAATGAATGATAATTTCATGAAGTTACAGCCTACACTGAAAATGAACTTTGTATCTGGCTCACCCCTATTCTTCTACTGTACTGAATATGTGCAAAAACATGTGTAGTCCTCGTTTAAATGTGATGAACATTTTTCTTAGTGATATACCTATAGCTTTGCATAAACATATGGTGATTCTACCGAGTGTAAGACATTAAAACAGGATTCCTAGTAGCAAATCTCTAATACAACAAGACAACTGAACATAGCTACCACGTGGTTCCTTTTAGAATAAACGATATATGGCTAACGTAAGCTGGCGAACATGTCATTGATCCATGCGCCTTAATTGAAGAGTTATCTGGTCGACCGAAGTGTACAGCCTTTCAGCTAGACAAAATCAGGTGTCTTTTCACTTACCTCACGTAAATTCGCTTCCAAATCAACTTTGTTTCCTATCAGTATAACTGTCAGGTTTGGAAGAGCTAAATCTCTAACAGAGGAAATCCATGAATTAATTGCGTTAAATGAATCTCGGTCAGTGATATCGTAAACTACCAGCGCACAGGCTGCACCTCGATAATATGAGCGTGTGATACATTGGAATCTCTCCTGACCTAAAAGAAATTATGTTTACTAGATGAAGCATACCAGCCGTATCCCATATCTGTAACTTTACAGACTTTGAATCAACTTTAAGCACTTTTGTTCCAAACTCAACACCTATCGTGTGTAGTGAATCCTGTTTAAACTTCCCCTCAAGAAACCATCTCATCAAACATGTTTTGCCAGTAGCAGCATTTCCAATAATCAGAAACTTCAGCAGGTAATCATACCTCTCCATAATCTTCAAGGTTAGCCATCCGTCAAGGTCGTAGAGGTTACGCGTTACTAAAATCCAATATCCAAAATGTGTAAGATAAACTAGTACATAGTATTTATTTTGTTTCTAGGGAAGATAACAAGTATCAAAAACTTTATCTTGTCCTTTGCCTTAAATTACAAGTTAATAAGAATTCAATTAACCTTTCGAAACTTTCTATCCTTCTGACTGTCATAAACCTATTGATTTCTTTTCATTCATACCTGATGTTAGAAGGCGACTCTAAATAATCGCTTCAAGTAAGCTTCTTTCCACTGGTTGTCCGTCTTCTTCGCATGACAAGTAGTCTGTTTTGGGCGGTATGTATATCACCCTAAGAAATAGATCAGTAACACTTGGACAGTGATGCTGACCTCATTAGTTTTAATGGACACACCTAGCTGAAATTTCTTGGTCACGCCTCCGCAGCAGATCACGAGTAGGTACTTCATGTTACGTATCCCTTGCAAGTTTCAGCCAGCTCAGATTAAACGCTTCTTGACATATTGATAGCCTCCAAAATGTATGTTCCAACCATTTCACTTAAAACTTTAGATTTGTATGGGTTGGCTTTCCGCGATAACAAAGATGTTACGAGCACTGCGTTGTTGAACTTTAGACACATGTGGCGTCCTTAGAGTTGAGATTGACGTGACCTGGTGCACCAATTCCTAGACATTGAATCTGTTTATTGTTGGAACATTATTCATCACATTTTAAATTTGTATTTTCATATATTGTGATATGGTTTTGTATATTTTCAGATGTTTTCTTTCGATCCATTTTCATATCATATCTCCACCGCGACGGAACAGAAACATAGGCTATTTAATATCAAAGCTCTTTCACCCCCACCACCTCTCAACTCATGCCAATCTGGACCAAAAAAATAGAAACTGGTTTTGCTACTCAGGAGCTGATTTCCTCAAGAGCGATATGACAGACCCCGTGCATATTTGCTTAAAACAGCGAACATATTGCCGCACGATTTTAAGAGGTACGTCACATCTAGCATGTTTAGTGTCCATGTTTCAGAACCTCATGACACTTAAACGTGAAAACCTAACGGACCAGCAGAGGTTAGACCAACCCTTCCACAACATCAAGCTGTAACAAGGCACAGCAGCAGAGATTTGTCTGCGAGTGAGAGAGTTGATTGGTCAACTCTCTTTGATGAGGTAGATAACTTCCCTTGTCTAAGCTTCTCCAACTGGTGCATACAGTCCTCGTCGTCATCCAAAATAACGCTATTGAAGTAATAGTTACATCTGAAAGCTGGATTATGAAGATCACCAGTACCCCTCAGCGCCGAGGTTTGATTTGTCAAAGTAAAGCCTCAAAGAATACAAAATAACATCACAGGCCTCTTTCATATTTTCCATAGCCATCTTAATATTCTTCCTAATCGTAAACGCTCCCAAATTCATCGAAGAAGTTCGTTACAGAAAAGATCCGTCTTTAAACGACGAGATGCAGATAAATTGATTGATGCTGGTGACACAATAAGTATGGTAAATTCTCAGAAAACCCTGCAGTTTCCCAAGTCTCAAGACGTCCAAAACGAAAAAACGATGGGAAAACTTCCTAGTCGGAACGCGTTAACAGCAACCGTAGCTAACGAACATTCTGAAACCATCTATATACTCCGATTTGATGGGGAGTGGCAGATCCTTCTCAACCTCGATAAATGTCTCTAGTCTTGAAAACTTCTTGACTGGACCCCCTGATCATTCCCCGGACACATTACCTAACCATTCAACTCTACCTTCCACTCTTAGACATACTTCTTTCACCAAAACAACACCCGACTACCCTTCTCGCATTAACCCTACTGGTAATAAACTAAACGCTCATCAATATGGAGTCGACGCTCCCAATTCTTCCTTTTCTCGTTGCAAAACAAACAAATCACTGGGTATACATCATACCCTTCTACTAGACAAACAGTCACCGTACCTGACACTTATGTTAATTAACGCTCGATCTGTACAAAGTAAGATGACTCACCTACGCACTCTTTTACTTTTAAACAACCCCTCACTTGTTTTGATAACGGAAAGTTGGCTGTCCTCCGACACCACAGACACATTTCTACAAATAGACACATATGAGCTCTTCCGCTGTGATCGAGTAACCAAGAAGGGTGGTGGTTGTCTCGTTTATGTATCAAAAAATTTGAGAGCGGAAATCTATAGCGACCACGTCCTCAGTAAACTTCCTGAATCGATATGGCTTACTGAATGTAAAATACTAATCGGATGCATATATCGAGCTCCTAACACTCCTAGTTCAAATGACACTATTATAAGTGAGTCATTTGCTCAGGCTGCCTCGCTTGACTTCACTTACAAAATTGTATGTGGTGATTTCAACCTTCCCACCATCAACTGGAAGACACATTCTGGCCCATTGTGCTTTGAAAGCATACTTAGGACCTTAGACATACACGGCTGGCAACAACATGTACACCTGCCTACACGAAATCACAACATTCTTGACTTGATATTCTGTCATAATGTCACACCAACATCAATGGTGGTTGGTGAAAAGTTTCACAACAGCGATCATAAAATAGTCCTCTGCACCCTTCAGATTCTTGCCATATGTAACAAATTAAAGACATTAAACACGCGATTCCAATATAGAGACTATGCAAATGCTGACTGGGAAAACTTTCGATTTCTAATAAAGCACTCTGACTGGGGCAGTTTCTTTACCAGTAATAACCTCTTAGAAACATTAGAAATATTCAATATCACCACCAAATCTGCACTAGACACTACTGTACCCTCTAAAATTGCTTTTAAAACAATTACTCCATATCTAAACCAAAAGACTAGGTCTAAACTGCGAAAACTGAAAAGGATGTACTATATATCAAAAGACTTCAGTGCCCTGCACCAGATATACTCTGTACTTGACGGAGTACAAAGTCAACACAACAAGCGTAAACAGGTAGAGGAACGTACTGCGCTCACTGCTGCATCTAAAGCCCAAGCCCTATGTCGTCTCCTCACGAAGCGCATAAGAAAGAACACAGACCACACCATTCACTCCTTACTGCACGATGGAGTAACGTATGATGACCAAAGCGTCATATGTGAACTATTAAGTGAATGGTTTTCTCACAATGGGAATACATCTGATGCTCCAGACATCGACATAAAGTGCACCGGCAAAAACGATCTTAGTACCATAAACTTCGACATTAGGAGTATACATACCGCCATTAAAACCCTTAAGTCAAATGCGAGTTCTGGTGCCGATGACATCCCTTCAATCGTTTATAAAATGTCAGGACCGGATATACAGACGCTACTACTCAAAATATACACATTATCTTTAGAGACAGGTACATATCCGGAAACCTGGAAGGTAACGTATGTTCTTCCCAAACACAAATCCGGACCAAGAAACCCGGTTGAAAACTACAGACCTATAAATATCACTCCAGTCATATCACGCATAATGGAAAAAGTGATACAATATCAACTATCTGATCACCTGCTCAAGGAAGATCTGATAGACCCGTCACAACATGGCTTCATTAGAACAAGGTCGTGCAGTACATGCCTGATAGACTTCTTCAACGAGGTTACTCGTATACGTGACCAGAAGAAACTAGTTATTATACTATACTTCGACATTAAGAAAGCCTTTGATAAAGTACCTCATAATCTTCTAATCAACAGACTTAAGTCAGTTGGAATTATAAATCCTCTTTTGCAATGGATCAAGTCTTTTCTTACGAACAGATATCAAATAACCAAGATTAACTCTAATACATCTACACCTCGACCTATAACCAGTGGTGTTGTGCAGGGTAGTGTCTTGGGTCCATTGCTCTTTATAATCTACATCAACAATATATGCAAGTGTTTTAGCACAGGTAAGACCTACCTCTATGCCGATGACTTAAAAGTCATCTATAAAACTGACATTTCCGATTTACGCAGTACTATGGAAACAATCCAACGTGAACTCAACATGGTAAACGACTGGTGCAAACGCTGGAGGTTAGAGCTCAACACAGAGAAATGCGGCTGGTTATGTATAGGAGACACATCTCTCAAAACGAAACTAACACTTAGCAATCACACACTGCCCAGACTGGCATCAGTAACTGACCTAGGGGTACACTACTCACACAGTCTTAATTTCTCTGAACACATCTCAGCCAAAGCATCCAAAATGCGGAAATTGCTTGGCTTCATTCTCCGTAATTTCTATAAAAATGAATCTAAAATCCTTCTTTACAAAGTTTGTGTAAGACCTATCGCTGAATACTGCTCGTTCTTATTTTCCAACCTACGCGTATCTGATATACTAAAGGTGGAAGGAATACAACGAGACTTCACTCGCAAGGTACTTAAGACTGACTTGGTCATTGACTACAGTTCCCGATGCCAAATCTTAGGAATAGCACCCCTTTGGAAGAGAAGGCTTAGGTCTAATTTGATTCTCTACTTCAAACTACTCAAAAACCTTGCTTATTCAACGTGTAAGATAATTCTTGCCCGAGATTCACATGAATACGGACTTCGAAACAAAGTATCTACGGTCAAAGTTGAGAAATACAGATCAAAAACTCGGGAAAACTTCTTCCTCACCAAGTATGCAATAATATGGAACAGTCTTCCCTCCGAAACTCGCATGGCAGATGAATTACATACGTTTGTGAAACTGCTTGATCAAGCCCTCACTTGCACTGATCTTGCACGTACGAACACATCTGCGCCCCACTCAGACATCATAGGCTCTCTCCATGTCTAAACCAAAATGGACTTCAAGTTCAGTTTACCTTATTTTTCCTACTTTGCAGTTGTATTAATTACCTTTTCCACCCCATTTCTTCACTTGAAGTAGACAGGTAACTCAATGGACCTATCATTACTGTTAAAATAAACTCGGTCGATAAGGGACACTCACTACCACCCTAAAACGTCAAGAGGACCGCACAATCGGCTGCCTACTACTAGTGGTCTTGCATCTATGGAGCCTGT